TAAATAAAAAATATTAATTAAATAATAATATATTATATTATAAATTTATAATATTATGCGATATTATATCGATAAAAAATATTAAGTGATATTGTTCCTATTGTAATTTCAATAAAAAAAAGAAACAAATTGTCTCACTAATTAATTGACTTAGAATAAACTTTCTATATTTAATGATTTAAATTTGTTATGAGTATAATTTAAATTTATAATTGGTATAATAAATTATGTTTTAGTTCTAAACAGTAATATCATCATATATAAAGATTCTAAATATTTTGAAGTAATTTTTTTTTTTACTTTTTAATTAATATAAACATTTAATTTCTATAAAAAAAAATTGACTTAGAATAATAATTCAAAATTTATGTGTGACATCACTAATTAACAATTCCCACCATTCTTCTGGATGTATGTACCATGAACTCTCTTGAATGGAGGAGTAAATGGTTGGCCAACATTAAGCAAGGAAAGATAAAGAGAGATCCTCCTTAGGCCCTCGCAACCAACATTCCTGGTCCCTTCAAGCGAATCACATGCTTAATGGTACTATCGTCACGTTACAAATGCGTTTTAGTGCAGGGAAGTCATCGAATTTCTAAAGGTTTTAATTTCGGAGGAATGACCTTGCTGACTCTCTCCTCTTTCTCCTTCAGGATTTAATCAAACAATCCCTTATCCTTAATAGCAGAAATATCCTTTAAGCTCATGCTCTCGCAACCTGCGACGTGTCAGTGCTTAATACTTCTACAAAGGTAACAGTGGATTCTCACCAACAGTATCAATGCCAGTAAACGCCATCAACCTTCAATAGCTTAGAGGGACAACAAAATTATTTAATTTAAATACAAATCTTTCTTTACTTGGAAGAATTAGAATAAAAAGTGAGAACGGCTTTGTAAAGACGAATTAAAGTTTCAAATAGAAGATAATTAATCTTTTTGTTGATTCGATTATTCTCGGATTTCCTGCTTAAATCATCTTCCTCAGATAATTCATGAAAGTTGAGAAGATAAATAGACAGCCAAGATAGCTAAACTAAAATGCTTAATACACCATACATTAAGCAAAGTTGTGCAGCAAAATACATATAGATCGTAAGTCAATTTTAGCTTTCAAGTTTATTTTCAACACAATACACACACTAAGAAAAGAAGTTCTAACCTTCAAGGAACGCACACGCATATATATTCAAATTGTTTGGAAAGCTATAGCATCACGGGTAGCAGACTGAATGACTGGTTTAGAAACAAACAAGATTAAAAGATCTCTTTCAATATTGGGTTTAGAAACAAGGCAAATTGAATTTAGCAATTATCGGAAATTCTTTAATTTGTTGAAACTGGATGATAGGGCACAGACACTCATGTCTGAACTAACAGCCGATAATTTTTTTGACCAGCAAAAAGGGAATTTTATTGGAACCCCGTACATTAATGCAGCATAACTCTATTCCAATTACCAAAACAACTGAAAATCCATTCAAGCAATTGATCGAATACTTGGTGTGCATGTGAGAAATACATTCTATTCTTCCATATCCCGTGGTTCCAAAACCCCAACAATCAGATTCTCTAATTCACTCCACTAACTAGTATTTCTAAGTCTCTGAAGAGATAAGTCATCAATAAACACAAACGATGGCTTTCAAAACACCAATTTGGCCTCCACCATAGCAGAAGTGTTGCAGAGCGACAACATGCAAAGAATAAGCAATCACTAGTGCGATAGAGTCAGAAAAATAGAAGAGAATGGAAGAAAGAATCTTGTCCAAATCGAGTAAAGGAGTCATGGTTGAGATGAAGTGCTGCAGCGTGAGAATAGATGATTTCCTCTTCGACTTCTTCCCTACCTCCACCGCCATTCCTACTTTCTCCTCTGCTGATGTATACTTTAAATGCTAAAACTAAACACCTGAATCCTTTCCATTGTGGATTCTCTTATTAGACAACTATTAAATTTTACATAAAAAACATCGGCTGTTGATTTCGAAAAATAAAATGAGATCCTTACAAATGACTTCAAACATCAATTCATACTCAAATTTCACTGATATCTCTCAACATCTATAGTCCAATTCCAGATCTGATACTTCTCAGGACAGCTTGCAATAGCTACTGTATATCAACTTTCAATGTCAACCCAAATATTTAAAATACACACATCATCCTTTTTTTGATTTCATTGAATGAGACAGTACAGAGGGGTACTCTAACCCCTGCACGACATTATAAAAACTTGAGCAGGCCGCTACAAAGAAATAATTACAGAATCCAGAGCCACTTAGATCCTCCTCATGCTCCTCGAAGTGCTCAGCCAAAACGATTTAAGAATCCATCAACAAATGTTTCAGGTGTCATAGACACTTGTGTTGCAGCCAAGTTCATTTGACTAGGGTCACTTGGAAACCCTACCTAAACATATTTTAAATACTAAAAAATTTATTCCCGGTTTAGAATTCTAACAATTAGGAAAAGAAAAATAGAACAGTAGCTTAGGGTACCTCTTTGATTGGTTGAGTTTCCTCGAACCGTGGAAATGACAATGGCTTCCTTCTCTGAACCTTGGAACCCATCATCTGTTGAGATTTCGACGTCCCTGTAAAATAGCAATCTCAGCTTCATCTTCACTCAGTGTGTCATCTTCTTCATGCTTCTTTTTTCTTCCATGTAACATCTGAAGCATATCAAACGTGAATTAACCTTTTACAAATTTACAAAAAAAAGTTGTACAGAGCAAAATTTCTTAGAATAACATGGGAACCTCCCTAATCCAGAAGTAAATTAATCAACTTATTATTGTTGTCTCTTTTGACATTTGAGATGTTTCTTGTTGAGGTAGGATGTGAATTTATTCTAATACTGGGGCACACCAAATTGTCAAA